ACTTTGTGAACAAGAACCCAGGTTGCTGGAAATTTGAAGCTAACTCAAGAGCATGAACTAAAGGAAAAAGAAAGGAAGCAGAAGGAAGTGAAGAGAAAAAAAGAATTAGGAAGAAGGCTAAGAATTCAACAATTTTAGGTAAATATTTGTCTTAATTTTTGTAGATAATTTAGTTAAAAGCTAAAATTAAGAAAGTTATGGAACCTATTCCATGGGTTTGTAACAAATTGGGTTTTGAGCAAGAAATTAAATTAGATTCATATTATGGAAATTAATTTAGAAATTAATTAGTTTGAGTTTGATTTTTATATTTTTTCATAAATTTGAGGTTCATCCTCACATGCCATGTTAGAATTTCCAAAAGTTTTAGATTAATTCATGTTGTAAAAAAAGACTTATGTGAGTTAAATTTGGGTTTGCATGTAAAATCAAGTTAGGACCAAGAGCATGAATTATGATTTCTTAAATTTGTTAAACTTGGGTTCAATTTTACATAAATAGATGAAGTTAGCAAGATGATGAATAAATGGAGTTATGTTCAATTTATGGAAATTAAATTAGAAATCAATTATTTTGACTTTAATTTTGTAATCTTGCATGAGATTAAGTTCCATTTGTTACATGCATGAATAAATTTTACAAGTTTAATACTCTAATTATACATGCATCATGGATTTTGAAGGATTTGGATTAATTCAATCTCATATTTTGAAGAGAAAAAGGAAATGTTTTATGAATATCAAGTTTATGGAAAATTAGAATTAATCCTAATGCTAGATAAAGTTTTGATTTTATAATTAGATTTTTAATCCATGCATGTAATGTAATTTAAGATTTTATTTAAATTAAACATATTTTAATTATGAATTAAGTTGAGTTTAAGATTATGGAAATTAGCGGGAAAATTTATAAGAAGTTTCATGACTCCAATTTCATGATTTCAAGGAAAATAGAAAGAACTTGATGCCAATTTTATGTAATTAAAGAGAAAATGAGAAATTGAAGCTATGATCAAATGTATGAAAACTAACTTAGAAATTAATTACTTTGAGTTGAGTTTATTTGTCCTAACATGAAATTGAGTTCCAATTGTACGTACATTATGAATTTTTCAAGAGTTTTGAGAGTTTAATTCGTGTTTTAAAAATTGTGGGCTTGAAATTGGGTTTGATATGGAGAAGATGAGTTAAATCAAAATTTGGTCAACTGGAGCATGATTTTGAATAAATGATTTCTAATTGAGAGTGTTTACTAAATTATACAATGGTTCTCCATTTTTGTGTGCCAAAAATACATGTTTTGAGGCTTTGAATATCAAATATGAACTTCAATTACAATTTTGGAAATTTCAGAATTTATGTTGTCTGCTCGAGTGAGGAAAGTCTTGCTCGAGCGTGAAAATCGAGCTCCCAGTAGTTTTTCAAATTTTGCAGTCCGCTCAAGCAACCAAAGTGGCGCTCGAACGGAGACCCATTTTCAGCATGTTTTGGAAAATTGCATTTAGTTTACATTTTTATTCTCATCTCTTTCCAAGGCATTCTAGACATGATTTATGACTCAATAATGATTAATAAACTACCAATCAACATAGATTAGTTAGTTGAAGAATGAATCATTGATCTAGTGGCAATTGTTTAAGAAGCCAAGTAAAAGATCAATCTATTTGGAAAAAAAAAAGGGCTTAGTAATGGAAGAATATGTGAAATAAGAACCCGGTTTATTTGAATGAGAAAGAATAAGCATAGTAGAACTTCGGACTGTTTAGACAGAAAAAGACTAGGAAAGTCAAGTTTGATCAAGGGAGTAATATTGTATTTCAATGTGTATATGTTATGTGCTTGTGTGGGTCACGCGCCATTGCCTGCCTGATTTATCTGATATGTCCAGTAATTCTGATTTGCTTCTGCGGCTATCTGTGAGTAATAACTTAGTAAAGCAATATTCAACTTTACTTAATTTCTGTGTGATGAATTAAGATCTGTTTTCTGAAATGATATGTTCTGTACAATGAATGATTGTCTAATTTCTGATATGTACTCATGACATCCTTAGCATCATGTGATATCTGTTGGTTGTTACCCAGTATCGAAGGTTCTTTTATGGAACTTAATCTGTCAGCACTCTGTTACCCATACCGGAGGCCCCGTCATGGGGGCTCAGCATATTTATTCTCTGTTACCCGGATCCGGAGGTTCCTTTATGGAACTGGTTATTCGTAACCCTCACGTGTCTGCATCTGTTCTGTATCTGCTCTGTTAATGCTAATGGATGTATCACGTATACTTACACATAACTTATGATTTCTGTATATGATCTGGACAAATTATGAATTTGATACAAAACTAAATTATGAATTATGAATTTTGAATCTGTACGGACTCATTCATTAAAACACTTTACTTTGTTATTATTCACTGGGCTCTAGCTCACTGTATTATTTATGTATGTAGGTGATCAGGCGCGTGACCAGGCTTAGAGGCATCTGCCTAGAATCTGTTTTTGTCAGCCAACCTATGTCCCTCCCGTGGAGGTTCCGGATGTGCCAAGTGATTATGGCTATGCGATTTAAAGTTTAAGTTTTGCTTTCTTGTTTAGCTAAACAAGTCTTGTGTGTTGTGTAAATGGGGCTAAGTCCCTTTCTGCCTAATCTGTATATATATTATGACGTGAGGATGATGTGTGTATATGCACACAAAAAGTTTAAAATTTTTCTGTCTCATATAAGTCTGCATAGTTCAACGGACGTTGTATATTTGTTATTTGCTTCCGCTAGCCCCTAATATTATGTTAATCTATCTCAGAGGCCTTCGGTAATCCCAAGATTACTGGCCGGTTACGATGTTAAACCTATAGGGACGGGTTTGGGTCGTGACAGCCTAGGGCCAGCCCTAAGTTCTGTGATAATTAATAGCATTTTTTTATCAAATAGTACTAAAAAAAAAGGCCAATAATTGTTAATTTTCAGCGATAGTTTGAAAATTTGACACTAATTATAAGTTTTAGCGAGAGTTTAAAAAAATAATCATAAAAAAGTCACTAATTTGTAACTTTAGCGACAGTTTGAAAAATTTGTCATAGAAAAATGTCACTAATTGTAAGTTTTAGTGACAATTTATAAAAATTGTGATAAAAAAAGTCAATAATTGTCACAAAAAATTACTTTTAGCGATGATTTTACTATGATTTATTTTCAATAGGATTTAATGGGAATTAAGTCAAACTATTAGGACCTATTAGTAGTTTACCCCAAATGTTGTAAGGACATTGTCCATAATTTTATTCCCCATTTACATGAGATCTGACCAAATCTAAACCAAAAATAGTTGCTGGAGTACAATCTTTTCTCTATATCTGTTTCTCTCATTTGATCTCTGAATTTTTCAATCTTTTCTCTGCTACACGCTTCTATTTTTCTGTTCTAATGGAGAAAATTTTCAAATTCTGAACAATTTTTGAGTTTTAGTTACATGTTGTGAAAACTGTAAAATTTTACTACTTCAATTTTTTGGTGCTGAAATAAATCATGTTTTAAAACTGCAAAATTTTACAATTTCAAAAAATTCTTTAGAAATGTAAAATTTTACAATTTTGTAACATGTTTTCCACTTTGATTAATAAGAATAAATGCTTAATAAAATTATGCTCTGAAACTGTAACATTTTACAGTTTAAAAGCTTACTTTTTAATTTGATTAATTTTGTAGATTATTTACTTAAACCCTATAAAAGTTGAAAAATAATATATGTTTTTTTTCCCATTATTACTGTTTGTTGTTGTTATGTTTTTTTTTTTTTTTTTTTTTTTTTTTTTTTTTTTTTTTAGTTTATCTATATTTAGCAAATTTTGCTATATTTTTTCACTATAATTTCTCTATTTTTTTTCTTCCCCAATATTCTGGACATTTCAGTGAGTCTCCAACGATGTTTTTGACGTCTAGCAAGTATTATGGACATTTTAGTGACTTTTAGTGACGTTCAGAACACTCTGACGGTACTCCGGCGAACTTCAGACGATACTTTAACGACTTACCCATGATGTTGAACATTCCGGCGAGTCTCAGGTGACTGCCTGACGGAAGTCCGACGATAGTAGGATGTAACAGCTTTTTTAAATTTATAAGGGTAAATTACACTGACCTCCCTGGAGGTTTACCTTAATTACAAGGACCTCCCCTGTAGTTTAAGAAATAACACTGCCCTCCCATGCTTTTGAAAATAATATACAGATTCCCCCTGCTGTTAACTTGACGTTAATAAAGTAACAAAATTAGTGACATCAGCCTCCATAAATATGCCAATACCCAAAATACACTTGTCATCCTTTATAAAACAATACACCCCCTTGCTAACTATTTCCCTCAATTTCCCAGAGCACCTGTTAACTTCCTCTCCAAAGTCTCTCTCTCTACAACATTACTTGACATGGATGAAGATTTCATGTGAGCTCTCTCTCTTTCTCTCTCCTAGTTCTGTGGATGTTATTTATGGGTGAACTATGTAAATTTTTTTTTCTTTTTTTTTTCTGTATGCATGCATAGGTACAGTGATATGGCATCATCAAACAATGGAAGAAACACACTGAAATATGTAAACCTTGTTCAAGAAATGATTAACCAAAATTATATGAGAACAATATAATTTGAAGACAAAAAAGTAAGATGCAAGTTCGAAACTCTTCAGTCACAATGGCTAACAAAAATTTCATCATTCACTAATATGACAGGATCTATTGACCATAACATGGAGTCACAAATTATAAATAAACATTACAAAAATTACAAATTCACAAATTACAAATAAACAACACAAAAAAATTTACAAATTTAGGGCAGCCCACAATTTCTATAAGCAAATTACAATCAAGGACTTGAATGTTCCAAGTTTTTTTTTTCTTAGACAAACATGACTTTAGACAGACCTGGACCACCTCAAAAGATCTGTATGTTACAACTTAGAACAAAGACTCAAGATGACTATTCTTGGTGGGCACACAATTTAAATTCATGTATCTTTCTTTGAAGGCCCATTTGGATCCATCTCAAGTGTCTTTGTATCAACATTGAACTTCAAAGAACCAAAACAATTCACATTAATTTGAACTTGACAAACAACACCCTTAAAAATTGTACCCAAAAACTAGTTCAAACATACAAAAACAGAGAGAGAAAGTAGAATGGAGCTAATTAACCTCTCACAGTCAACAATGAAGGAATGGCATTTAGGTTTGGAGTGGTGGTTTTGTTGGAAACCTCTCTCTTCCCTAAAAAAGAAGAAGGCTTGAAAGCTCTAATTGGACTTGTAAATTCCCAACCCCAACTCTTACTTCTTCCATACGCCACCGCCACTACCACTGCCGCTGGTGTCAACTTCCTATTTTCTTCAATTAAAGATGAAACCCAGTAAGAAGATGAAGAGGATAAGGAAGTGATCATGAACCCACTAAAAATCCTATCACACTTGACTCTCTCCATGATGCATTCCCGTTCTCCGTCGTCGTGGCGGTGGCCTTCTCTCTGAGACTCGACTCGCCCGAGAGTGTAGTCTCCGAACCCAGTAGAGATTCGCTCGAAAAAGTCCCCAAAAAAGCTCTTGCTTTCACACCTGATGGATCTAGATCTAGAAACTCTTTGGCCAAACGCCGCCTGGTTCGAACTCTTACTCTCATCCACCACTACTGTCGTCGCCACAAACTCCTCCCTCTTCTTCGATCTCTGCGACAACGAACCCAGTGACGAGGAATCACTTCTCCGAGTACTAGATTGCTTCGAAAGGTAAAGAAACGACTAGAACCCTCTCTTCCATGGACTATGTCTTTTCACAATATGGTTCATGGATATTAAGGTCAATTCGGCTGTCAAGTTAACGTTGTTCATGCTAATTTAACGGGAAGGGAGAATCTGTATATTATTTTCAAAAGTAGGGGAGGTTAATGTTATTTTTGAAACTACAGGAGAGGTCCCTGTAATTAAGGTAAACCTCAAGGGAGGTTAGTGTAATTTACCCAATTTATAAAAAAAATTGATTTTTTGGTAATAATTAAAAATATGTATGACTAATTGGTACAAGTCTTTGTTTTGGAATTAGATGGATTTTGAATTTTGTATATGAGACTTATTGATAAGTGTCCCATAATTGATTTATTTTCACTTTATTTTATTTATTTATTTATTTATTGTTTCCACGTGTAAGAACGTATAAAAAATATTAATTTTGAAACTAAAAACTAAGTGAGTAGCACGCCATCTATGAAACTAGTAACTAAATTTTCATGAGATTAACGATGTATATACAATTCAATAACAAAAGCATAATAGATGCAATTTTGTATTTCGATAAAAAAAAATTCCTTTTTTTATAATGATTTCAAAAGTGATTACAATTGTTGTGATGCACTTCAAAATTTTGTATTATAAATTTTTTATTTTTTTCATAATTTTGCAATTAAATATATATATTAAAAAAAAAGTTTGAATGAAAGTTAAAATTTGGGTAAAATTGGGCTCATAAGAACCAAGCCTGCTTGAGACCCATTAAACCCATATTTTTAAGCACATGAATAGGTTCTAGGTTTTAAAAATATAAGAGAGACAAGTACGAACCTAACCTATTATTAATCGGTAAAAGTTTATGAATGTGGACCTTATTAAAATGCTTAACTCAAAACCAATTGATTATGAATGGAGAGACTCTTACCACCCAATTGTTATATTGTTAACTATTTGCAAACTAAAAAATTATAATTATAATTTATCTATTAAAAAATGAATGGGTGCAGTTGAAGAACCATTCATGGAGTTAGACAATACGTTAACCAAAGAGAAGACTAGGTAAAAGGACATTAATTATAAGCTTTGTATTGAAAAATAGTAGACGATTTCTCAATCACTCTTAATTATATATTATAGGGAAAATGGAAAAAAAGTTTCATATGAGAATCAGTTACTTCAATCAGTCTCATAAATTTTCTAATACAATGATATGTATTGTTTGTTTTGATAATCATACTGTGAGTTCATATTTTGAATCTTGTATGATTTGACAGACGTTTTTACCCTTTCTCATTGGGGGACATCATCTTAAGGAAATTGGATCTAATTTTTGGACCACGTTTCTGTAACGTGACACTCCCAAAAAACTGTTTAGAAGTTCTATACATTTCAAATATAATACTTTAATATAACACATTAAAAAACTCCTTAATATACTTTTTTCAAACATAACATTCCCAAACAATTAAGGAGATTATAATAACAAATAAATTATTACACTTCCAAAGAGATTAAATAGATAAAAAAAAATTATAAGACTAATTAAAACATAATTCTAACCTACAGAATTTATCTATATAGATACGTATGCCATGCTTGCTTTGTCAACTCATTTCAAGCACATGGCATAGAAAGTCTAATTTGCTTTCCTTGATGAACAGTCAACTCCTTTGGGATTTAACGATGAATTCAAAACTATAGCTTAACACCCATTTGATTAGACAGATTGTAGTATAAAATTAAAATAATTATTTTACGAGACTCATATTTTATTATTTAATTTTAATTTTTATAATTTAAATTAGATTCTGTCGGATATTTTATCAATAAAATTGTGAAATTTTTTAATTCTATCACTAATGTTAATATTATATAATAACCTATAGCGATCCCGGGTTTACCCTTGTTGAACAGTGATCCGGACATGTGTCCGTAGATGTTGGTAGTTGTTGTTTATCTTGTTTACATCCTTTTTACTTTGTATTTGAGTTATAGGATGTGTTGGGCAGGTTTGTTTCAGGTTGGTTGTGTTTGGGAGCCTAGTGTAGATAACAACCTGCTATTTCACCGGCGGGCGGTAGCCTCGCCTTGGCCGCCCGCCGGACCTCTACACATACCCCGACTCCGCTGCTACTAAACCCAATTCAACATTCACTTTCAAGAAATTTCCTCTTGTGGGTACCATTGTTGTGGGTACCGTTGCTGTGGGTGGGGGGGGATATCTCTCTCTCTGCTATGACATGCACATACACAGATATACTGAAGGCACGATCTCTCTCTCTCTCGGCTTGGGGAGAGAGAGGTTAGGAAGAGAGAGAGGAGACACCACACCACCACTGCCATCCCAACACACATGCACAACACACACTCTCACCACACACGCACACAGCACCCATGCACACCACACCACCACTGCCATCCCAACACACACTCTCTGAGATGAACACAACACACGACATACACACACAACAATCAACTCTCTCTCCTCAACTCTAATCTTGTACCCACTCCCTGCGTATCCTGCGCACCTCCCCACTTGAAAGCCACAACAATGGGCAAAGGGGGAGCACCTCCCCAAGAACAATGATCATAGCCCCACTTGCTCTTTCTTTTTCTTTTTCTTTTTTTTCTTTTTTTATTGCCCGCCGAACCTCACTCATCCATGCTCTCTCTTTTTTGTTACTCTCCCGGGCCCCATCCCCTCGAGACAGTTGCATTGTGCTTCTTTTTCTTTTATTAAAAACCAAAAAAAAAATAAATAAAAAAAAAAGCTCGGTTGGTGAGTCCCTTTTCCCTCACATGTTTCCACTCTCTCCTCTTTGATTTCAAATACATTATTATTATTTACTTATTTATTTTTCTTTATTTATTTACTTTTCCATTCCATGATACACTATCTGCCAACTTTTGTCCCCCTCTTTTCCTTTCTTTTTATTTTAATCTTGTCCACCCACTCTTCTTTTATTTAAACACAAAATCACTCTTATCTTTTTTTTATTCCATTCTCCCAACACACCCAGCCTCCTCCACCTCACTGATTTTTCTGCTCCAACAACCTTGTACCATTCTTGCCATCCAGCTTGCACAACACCCTTGTTTTATTCCTATCAAAGATCCACCCCGCTCACAGTTCTACACCACAAAAAAAAAAAAAAAAAAAAAAAAACCTTTTTTTTTTTTTTTTTTTTTTTTTTTTTCTACTTTTCTTTTTTTTTTTTTTTTTTTTTTTTGTTTGTTTTTTTTTTTTCCCTCTTTTTGGGTTTGGATAAGGTTTTGATTTGGAAAAATAATTTATGACCTAGTAAGTTTATTAATTTTTCTTGCTTTTTGATTTGTTATTTTATTCTTAAATTTTAGAAAATGAAATATAACTCACTTCAACACTCTTGGAAAATTAAAAAAAATTGACTTTTTTAATAAGATGAAATGTCACATTAAATTTATAATGATTATTTTTTTCTCACAAATATTAAATTTAATTTTTAATAGTATGAGTGTGAGCTGAGGTGTAGAAGAGAAGACGTAACATGGTGACACCTGGCCAAATGCGGAAACTGCGTTGGGACCCAATCCCTCCAACACTACACGTTTCTTCCCCGTGTTGATTACGTACACACGTTTCTTTTTCTTCTTATATTTTGAAAAAATTACAAAAATATATATCT